TTTTTTTTTTTTAAAAAAAAGATGACCGGTAAGGGGATCTTAACCCTTGACTTGGTGTTGTCAGCACCACGCTCACTCAGTGAGCAACCGGCCATCCTTTTATGGGATCCGAACACGTGGCCTTGGTGTTATCAGCACCACACTCTCCCGAGTGAGCCACAGGCCGGCCCCAATAGGGATCTTTTGACATCAGTAGTCCTGGTCAGCAAATTTCCTAACAGCAGTGACCCCAGGCAGCAAAGACCACCACACAGCAGATACCTCCATGTGGCCATGACCTAAGCCTTGCTCTGCCACTCACCGGTTGAGGGCAAATGTGTAGTGGAAGCAGACGTTATGCTGCTCAGCCACATCACAGGTGGGCAAGGCTTGCAGCGTCTCCACCAGCTCAATGATGGCCGAGTAGTCCTGCACAGGGAAACAGCAAGCACTGGCATGACAGCCCCAGGACTCTGAGGAAAACCTTGTGCCAGGGTCCCATCCCACCCCTGACATCCCATCTTCCCACCCACCATTGTCTGCTTTGCAGCTACAGCAGACACCACATCTACAGGGAGAACCCACTGTGTGCCCTGCTGGGGCTCCCAACCTTGCAACTGCCCCGGAAGGCAGTGACAAGACCATCCCCTATTACAAATGAGGAAACCAAGGTTCAGAGAGGTTAGGTAATTTGTTCAAAGCCACCAGTGAGCAAGTGGGACAGCCAGGAGCCAAACTCGGGTTTGTCTGACATCAAATGCCCATGGCCCGACTGTCTCTTGGAACGCCACTCACCTGCACATCACGGTAGGAGATTAGCAGGTTCATGATGATGTCGGGGCTCAGCAGCTCCACGCTGTCCAGTCTCCGCTGCAGGCGGGCCAGCTCCTGCCGCAGCTGCTGCCCACTGAACCGCTCCCGGGCCTGCCGGATATCCTGCCGAATGGTCTCCCGGAAATAGCCACTGATGCCCAGGACAGGGGAGGGAGACAGAGTGGTGGGGCCTGTCCCTCAGCCCCAGCCCACTGTCCCCTTACCAGCTTCCTCCTGCTGCACCCTCCCTGGAGGTCCCCATTACCAAGAGTCCGTGGGTGTGGCCTCCAGCAGGCGGGTGAGCCGGCTCACCAGGGGGGTGAGCAGGGCCTCAGTGCCCACCCCAGCCTGCACTAGCCCATCAGCCAGGCCCCGCAGGAGGCCTGCATCACCACACAGCACTCGGCCAGTGGCCGTCACCACATAGGGGATCAGTGTGTAGCTGCCAACGCAATCCTGGTGAGAGGGAGGCAGGAATCAGTGGGGGTCAGAGCTGCATAGGGTTAGAGAGGGGCAGCGAGGGGGTCAAAGGTCGGCACCAGTGGGGATTAGAATAGCAGGAAGGGGCATACTTCATGAAAGGGGGCAAAAGGGAACAAGGGTCAAATGGATGTCAGGGGGCATTAGGGAGGTCAAAGGTGACCGAGGAGGCCAGGAAGATTAGTGGAGGTCAAACAGCACATTGGCATGAGGGGTGGATTCTGCTCACCGAGTTCTTCTGGAAAACATCCTCCTGCAGGAGGCGGACAGTCAGATACTGGTGTTCTGGGTAGGCCCTGCCCTAACCCCCAGCCTGCCCCCACCAGCCACCTGGCCACCTACTCGCAGGGCCTGCAGGTCAGGGAGGTCGGCCTGGGAGCAAAGGAGCACGTTGTTGGTCATGCTGAAGCTCTCACGCACACCGAGGTGGTAGAACAGGGAGGGCTGTGCCAGGGAGCTGTTCACCTCCAGCACCACCACGTCTGTGGGCACAGAGGTGGAGGCTCTGAGCCCTGAACCCCAGATTGAGGGGAAGGAGCCTGGGGATCCATGTTGGCTCAGCCTGCCTTGCTGTGGGTCTCAAGCATGGTCCAATTCTGCTTTGGGACTCAGTTCCTTCCTTTTAGGATCCCTCCAGCACTTTCACAGAACTGATATCTGTGGCGTTGCAGGAGAGGAGTCGGGCTCACTGGGCTAGGACCTTCATCTGCCTGTGAGCACCAGGCATGGGGGAGAGGAGTTGTGACCAGCTCAGAGCCTGTTCCAGACCATTTGGGAGCCAGAGGTTGTGCAAACACAGAAGTCCCCTCCCCTAGGTCCTCAACTCAGCCTCTTGAAAGGGGCCGGCACCATCAGTGTGTGTAGATAAGGCCGTGCCTGTGTCTGTGTGTGTGTGCATGTGTGTGTGCAGAGCTTACTGCGTCCAACTGTATCTCTATGTATGACAGGGTCTGCAATGATCTGTGCGAGTCAACATGTATGCAATTTGTGAGTCTGTCGATGACTCTGTGTGTCCCTTTGTCCTCGTGGTCGTGGCCTTTATTTTTAGGCTGCGATTTCATGGACATCCAGGAAGCACCGTTCCGGGACTCTTGGTTGAACAAATACGTATCGGGAGCGGGGCATCCGGGTCGGCGGGAGGGAGGGGGGACCCGCGCGGGAATAGCCGCCTGCTGGCCCCGCCCCGGCCATCCTGCCCCGCCCCTGCCCCGCCCATTCTCTCGGCTGCTGGAGCCTCCTAACCTAAGCTCCCTCGCCCAGAATCCAGTCCCGTTGGGTCCCTTCGCTGCCTTTTCTGAGTCTCTAGTCCGATCCTCGGAAGCAGAACGCTAGGACCCCTGAACTCCAGCCCCCCAGGTACGGCCTCCATCACTAGTCCTAGCTCCGCTCCCGGGATCTGCTCTCAGGAGCTCGGCGGGATCATCCCGAGGCTAAGTTCTCCAACCCCACCCCCGAGATGCCACAGTCCTGCCCCGCCCCAGTCCTAGTCCCGCCCTCGAGGCACGGCCCCAACTGAAGGGCGACTAAACCCTAACCCTGAATCCCGGAGCCGGGCCTGGATCCCTAAGTCCTATCCCGAGCCCGGACGCGCTACCAGATCCCCTGAATCCCACTTTCCTCGCGGCTCCACCTCAAGGCCTTCAGTACCCATCTCGGTCCCTCCCTGGAGTCGCCGAGCCCCGCCCTTTGCCCCTCCCGAGGCTCTCAGCCCCGCCCCCAGCGCGCGTGCTCACCCGCGTTGTAGAACGAGTCCATCGCCGCCGTGTCACCCAGCGCCAGCGTCGCGAAGGGCAGTCTCCGCAGCTGCGGCGGCGGCCGCGGCCCCGGGAGCTGCGCGCAGGCCTCGCGCAGGCAGCG